CAGATAAGCAATGCAAGCAATCATTACCATAGTGGTAATACATGACAGATGTTATATATTAGCTAGAAGGGCTCTATTTGTTGTATTAATTAGTGCTGAAAAAATAATGTAGAAACTAAGTGATGCTAGGGAGTTTGAGGTTTTTTTCAAATTTTTTTCATCAGTTATCCTTGCCATCCCTAAGGCCTCTGTCAGTTTTAAATCCTCTAAATAATTTGTACAGTGGGCCTTGCAACTGCGACAGCAGGCTGTGTCCACTAGACAGGCTTCTCTTGCTTCAGATCTACTTGGAAAACTTCCTAAGTGGGTCAGAGATATACCTCCAAATATAATATATGTTGGCCCCAAAATATAAAGGGTTTCAGCAAACAGTATGGCATGGTTTTAGTGATATGAGATACAAGATAGCATGCCACTTGATTTAGAAAGGATGTTTGTGTATATAGATCAGACAGTTTGTTCCCTAAAAATCTCACTCACATGAAAAGTTCCGGAATATTCTCATGTTTATCCCTTGGAATTTACTCTCACCTTGCAATGTAAGATATATATGATATTAAAAAACTCGCCATTTCTGTTTATAAAAATTATTGAAAATTAGCACAATACCAGCAGCAGACAGAAATAGCATGGCATCTTGCAAAATGTGAAACAGAATAGGGGAACTGTTTATAGCTCAGTGATAGAATGAGTGAATGAAAGTCTTGGTTTTCATGCTCACACTACTAAAATTAAAAAAAGAATAATAAAACTAAACTGGTGACAACAAAAATACATGGTCCTGAAATGAAACCATAAAAGGTACTCTTATTCTGAAAACTCAATTTAATTTTTATGATTTTGCTTCACAATGAGTATAGATTAAAACTTTCACCAATTGAGTAATCATATAAAAAGTGCCACAGGCTAAGGTGTTTTGCCTGGTAAAGGTGCTACTTCCTGGAGCATGTCAGCCAGAGCAATGTAAATTTATGTTAATTGAAATTTACCCTGTAGTCAAACTGGTTTTACATAGTCTGACACTTTAATTCAATACGCGTATGACAAGGATCACCTGTCTGACTTTCATGTTTCTTAGGGTGTCTACTTTTCCCATTCTTTTGAGAATGTGACTGTGAATATTTTATTTCTTGTCTGCCAAGAGGTGAGTGTTTCAGAGGCTTCCACTCAGGCTTGTTTACCATGTCACTTAGTCTATAGATTTGAAACAAATATGAGAGTTTTACAAGCTTCCAAATCTGTGCATTTCAATTATAAATTCGGCATTAGGTAAATAACTGTTATGGTTGATACATTGTGTCAACTAGGGGAGTCTAGAGATTTGGCTAAGTGACTCAGGAATTCTACATCCTGGGGAGCAAAGGACATGCCCTTCCTGCTCTAGGATGTTATTCACTGTGTCCATGTGAGAAGTTTAGGTTAACTATGTGAGTGCTGCCCCCTGGGTGGGGGATAGCCTTCTTACAATGTAAGGGAGGGAAAGAGGCTTGCACACACTGCCATTCCCCTCTTTGCTCTTCTTGCTTTGCTATCTTATGCCTCGGAGCCAGCCAAGTATGGCCTGAAAGCTCAACAAACTGTAAGCTAAATAAACCTTTCTTTCTTTCTTTCATTTTGGGCATTGCGTATTTTGTCTCAGCAACGAGAGAAAAGTAACCAAGACAATAACTATAAATCTATTTGAGCAATTTTTAATGTACTTCAGTCAAAGCTCTCAGGAGAATCTGATAATCGTTAACTTCTGCTGCATGTAATAGCTCACAAGTTCTCTTGTTCCCCACATAGTACTGTCTGTCAGTCCTGGCCCTATTCCCAAAGGTCCCAGGTAAAGAGAATATGTGCCTTCTCTTCTGGGTATTGAAATCTGGTAACTACAGGTCTTTGATAATCTCCACATGAACGCATCCTGAGCATTCCTGTGGTGTGTTTATACTGTCCTTTGTCAAGGCGACTTACAGACTTTCCTGACTCACTGGACTCCTTCTCTAAATTGGCTCACTGCTAAGAACTGGAAGGGGCCGTGACTTTCCCCTTCACAAGGTAAGTTCATAAATCCAATTTTAAGCTCTTTTTCCCTTGTATTATAGTACTTATCAGACTACAAAGCCTCTTCACCTGCTGTTTTATGAATCTACTCCATGTGCTACTGCTTTCATCACTTCCCTGAATCTGACCTTTGCAAGATCATCTGGGAGCCTGTGCTGTCTGTGCTCAGTGCAAAGCCCATCCGAGGCATTAGGTAAAGTCACTTATATTCTAGGACACTGCTCTCTCCTTATTTGCATACTTGTACACTGAACACCACCTGTCTGTCTCCATTGTCAGTTTTTCCTGTTCTTCCAAAATAGAAAACATCACAGAGACCACAGTCCAATATTTTTCTGTTGATCTTCTTGGTGGTCTCACAGTCTTCTTATTGAAAAGGTACAGTTCCACAGAGATCAATAATGCCAATTATTCAAATTTATCTGTAGATCTATATGTTTATCATATGCCTTTCTATCTCACATTGGAAAATATATAATTTTTTCTGCAAATACCAAAGCTCCAGGAGAAGATCAAAGCACAATATATGCATATATGTAAATTATGCAGATAAATCCATTCATTTATACAATGTATATGCATTAATATGTATAATACTGAAACATAAAATTAATACTAGTAAAAATCCAGGGAAAAGAAGGCGGTTTCAACTATATTTTGCTTTAACTTCTGCTAAATCAAAGTGATGATAACTTTAATCTAATTCATTAATTTAAAATAACAGTATAGGTCTTGACTGATAGGGGAGGATCACTGTAAATATATTGCTGTACGTAAATAAAAGTAATTAGGTAGATGACCACAATATGCAATATCACAACCACTGGTGAATTCCTACCACTTCGTCTAGTGAAACTCTGTATCATTTCTAATTTTTTTGTTTTTATTTTTTATTCTCTTTAATAGTTTGATCAAACTTGCATTCTTACATTTGGTAATCTGAGCAACTTCACTGAAGATAACAATATGTAATATAACAATCACTGTTAATTCCTACCATTTTGTTCTGAAATCCTGTATCATTTTTTTTGTTTTTGCTTTGTTTTGTTTTTGTCTGTTTTGCTGGTATTTTGCTATTGTTCTTTTTAAATTCTCTTTAAAATAAAAATATTTTAAAAAGTAATTAGATGAAATTATTGTTGATTTACCTCTTTTGATTATTTGGATTTAGTACAATTATAAACCCCTCTTGAACAAAAAAACCTGAAAAAATAACACACTAATTTTGGGGATGTTCAACTACATTCAGCAGACTCTGAAATGGATAGAGAACTGCCTTCTCTTAGGAAATGACTTGTTATTTTCCTTCCTAACTGTAATGTGTGTGGATTAACCTTGTCTGGAAAAGCCTTATTTGCTAGGAGCAGTTGTTCAGATGGAAGCCCACAGTGTTTCCATCCAGAGTGACAGGTGCAGTGGTCGGTCTTAGGGAGAGCTCCTCTGGGGTGAGTGTAGCTATTGCTAGGGACCCAATTCTTGTTTCTTTTCCAAAATTTCATGAGGTTCTACTACAAGCACCCAGTTCATGCAACCTCACCCCATGGCTCCTGGCACTGCTCTTTGTCTTTTTAAAAGATCTTATTTTCTGAGCTCATCCTTTTGGTCCTGAACAGGATAAGCCAGAGACAATGTTCTGCCTCCAACTGTTGATATTTCTTTACTTCTATTCTTATGAGATTTTTCTTAAAATTTGCCCATGCTATTGTGCTTTTTTACACATCTTACCCCTAAGTAAAGGGTATTTCTGAAAAATATCAAGATACAATAGATTCACTTTCTATACCATCCAGGGGCTGAGTGCTTGCTAAGCTCCACACACTAGAAGACTGATGTCTTCCTCTGTCATCTCTGAGGTTTTATGTTTTTTCTATCACCCCAGGTGTTGTTGCTGAATTTGTTTCATTTCTGTCTTTCTTACTCAATAGCTATTTAATAACAAGATTCTTGTCATGTTGCTTATTTCCCATTTTGATCAGAGAGAGCAAATCATTCTGCATGTAACTGGTGCTGGTAGTAGTGGTCATAGAGCAGGTATTGCTCAGACACGGTGGTGGTTAAAAGCCGAAGGTCTTCATACTGATAGAAGAATGTGACTCATTGCTCCAGGAAAAGGCAGGGAATGAGGAGGGTTTTGCTGTGTGGATGAACTCATTCATCTCACTACTTCATGGGGTAGCAGAAAAATTGCAAATTTTCTTCACATGAAAGGAGGAAATAGGTCAAGTCCATTAGGCATTTGAATTTAATACTCTATAATGTTTATATGAAATTAAAGAGTGGGTCCAGATAAATGTATCAATCTTTTCAGAAATAATGATCTTCATAAGGTTATTAGATAATTGAATGTAAGAAAAGATTTGCATACTGTGTGGATAGGTCCCCGTGCAGAACAAAATATTGTAGTTTTTGAAGAATCTCAATTTAGGTATACATTCGGATTCTTGCTGTCTTTTGTGTAAGTTAGTTTGTAAAGTTAGTCTTTATTGTTTCTTGCCCAATGGTCAGAAGTCATTAAAATATGTGGATGATGCAAACTGGGCTGAAGAGTGTAATGAATATATCCTCATTTGCCTGCTAGCAGATGAGGTTTAGGTGTTTCCTTCATCATCAGCTACAAAAGACTCCAAGCTGCTATGTAATGTAAATAGCATCTGGTGAAACCTCAGCTGAGCTTTCTGGAATATACAACATTTTCACTAAGAAAATGAAATCGTTAGCAAATATTGATGTTTGCTTGCTTGACAGTGTATATTTAAGGTTTTAAAGGACTAACTTGAAGCTTTTCAAGAATCAAATGTACGTAGCATTTTAGGTGAATGCATCAAAAATTCTTTACCAGTAGTATTAGACTCTTTTAGACTATGGGAAATGTGCAGAAGATATTTACAATAATTTTTAATATGGAATTCATATCTGGATATTTAATAAATGGATTCATAGCCCTGGTGAACTGCATGGACTTGGTAAAAAGGAGAAAGTTATCTTCAGCTGATCGAATCCTCACTGCTCTGGCTATCTCCAGAATGGTTCTGTTCTGGATAGCATCACTTGATTGGTGGATATTTGTGCAGTACCGAGCTTTATGGATGACTGGAAATGTGTTAAAAATAATTAATATTACCTGGATAGTGGTCAGTCATTATAGCATCTGGCTTACTTCAACTCTCAGCATCTTTTATTTTTTGAAGATAGCCAATTTTTCTAACTCTATTTTTCTCTACCTGAAATGGAGAGTTGGAAAGGTGGTTTCACTGACTTTACTTGTGGCTCTAGTCCTCATGTTTGTAAGTATTGTGTGTACAAATGCAGATATTGCTGTCATGATTGATGCATATAAAGGAAATTTGTCTTACAGTTCCCAAGACTCTGCACAATTTTCCACACTGCTTCCATTCATCAAGACTGTGCTCCTATTCATACCCTTTACTGTGAACCTAACAACTTTCCTCCTGCTCATCTTCTCCCTGAGGAAGCATCTGAAGAGAATGCAGCATAATGTTAGAGGATATGGAGATGCCAGCACCTTGGCTCACACAAAAGCCTTGCAGATTGTGATGGCCTCCCTCTTACTATATATAATTTTCTTTCTGTCACTACTTGTTAAAGCTTGGAATTCTCAGTTATTAATGAAAAACTTCATCTTTTTTCTTTGTCAGACAGCTGCAAATGCATTTCATTCATGTCACTCATGTGTTCTGATTTTGGGGAACAGTAAACTGAGACAGGCCTGCTGTTCAGTGCTGAGGCGGCTGGGACATGGGTCCAACGATGCAGATCCATCGGGTCCATAGATCATTTCCATGATCATCTTGCATATTTTACAGGAACGTCAGTACACAAGAAATTCTGTCTTTATGATTTTTCTTTTCCAAATACTTTTTATTTTTTATATAAATTAGTGAATTTTACCAAATCATTGTTTGAAATAAAGACAACTGAAAAATATTTCAATGTTAGTGATATATATAAAACTATCTCGAGATGCACAGAAGTATGTTGATTCAGGTTGCTTATATGTATAAAGTTCATATAATCATGCAATATAATAACTGTGCCAATCATTTGCCTTTTTAAACCTTAAGCTGACAATCTAATGTGTGTATATATATGTGTATATATGCATATAAAATATAGCAACTAAAAGTGGAACTTTAAAATTTTATATACTTAAAGATAAGCTTTTAATGTAAAAGATGTGGCTAAACTACTGGGTATGAAATGAAATAAAAATATACATAGTTGGAAATAAAGTACAAGAAATTTATAATGTTATAATAATTTATAATCAAAAAATCTCAGAATTGCAAATCTCCATTTTTCCAGTTTTTTAATTTTGTTTCAAATTTTAAAATTGTGAGAACTTATTTTTCATGACTAGGAATATATATTCACACTGAGTAATGCATGTATCAGCTAGTGTGCTTTTTAGGTACCACAATACATTTTAATTTTATTCCACATGAATACCAAATCATGGCCTAATAGACTTTTAATTCAATATCATAATGGGAAACTGATGTTTTGTTATATTGTATTTCATTATGTACATGTACTTTACTAACATAGACAATATTTTGGTTGTCAGAGGAGCAGAAATTTAGATTTGTTAATGTAAAATTAATGTGAACTTTTGTTATGTTTATATATTTTAGGATTAATTGTGAAGTAGAAAAATGTAAGTAGCAAAATAAATGGAAAATTAATAATAGATGAGAGGCAAGAGTAGGGACAAAAGATAAGGAAACATGGTTAAATACCCCTTCATCAGTGCTGTTAAAATCTTAGCTATGACAGAAGAGCTCTTAATTCTTGCTTATTTTCCTAAATAAATCTTCTCATACAGCTAGTTTGTGTTTGATACAGATTTTCTTATTCTATTAATGTAGTACATTCATGTGTTTATTTGCTGAAAACTATATTGTAAATCATGTTTCTGTATGTCTTTTGTAGCCTTGTCATGAGGAACAAATGCTAGAAAGTAAAACATGGCATCTGTAATAGGTAATTACTATACAGAAGCCATTGTAATATTTGTGTAGCAGATACTCGGTATATTTCATAATATTTTAGTATTCACATACAAGTAATACTATTTTTTATGTGAAAAATCTGAGGTGATGAGATGTTAAAGAAATTATTCTACAATACTTGAAGATGCTAGCAGAGATTAGAGCAATAACCTCTAGCATTTTGGGTGCAAAGCTGTTCCCCAAATTCTGACGAAATGTCAACGGGAAGAGGCTGCTTAGGGCCACATCTGAAATTTGGTAGAAAAATCGTGTAGAGGAATGTGCAGTGCTGTTGTGTATATTACGTCACCATTTTTTCCCCAATGACACTGATATTTGGATAATGTGGACAAAAAATATTAGCTATTGTGTTTGTTTCTTGTATTGGATGCTAGCTGCATTACTAAACTATCAGATGTACTTTGTGTTTTAAAATGAATCTTTTACCTTTTCAAATTAAAAATTATATCATCTACACGTAAATATTTGTAATGACTATTTTATATCTTCTAGTATTTGTACTTTTCTTTTTTGGTGTTGCTATGTAAGGAATTGGTTCACATATTCAAAATATTAATAGTGGTGACAACTGGTATCTTTATAAGACAAAATTTGTTACTGTTTTACCAATCAACCAGGATTCTGAGTTTAGCTTTGGTAGAGATACTTTTCAAAATGACCTTCAGAGAAAAGCACTCTCTGTGTATCTTTTCTGATAAAATATATGCTAAAGAATTCAAATGTGGATTATTATTTAATATTTCTATTACCAAATAAACTATGAAGGCAAAATGTATGAATATTTAATGAGAAATATTTTAAACAGTAAAAGGAAGCAGTATGAACAATACAAAATTAGAATTTTTTTTTTTTTTTTTTTTGGGATTTTCTCCGGTACCAGGAACCGAACTCACGACCTTGCGCTTGCCAGGCAGGCGCTTTTGCCGCTGAGCTAAATCCCCAGCCCAAAATTAGAATTTTTAAAAATATAATACTAAAATGAAGAAAATTATTAAAAATTGACAAAATACTGTATCGATACACAGCAAAGAAGTAAGTATCACAAGGTGACAAGTCATGGGAATTTTTAATTACAGAAATGATGTTCTAATTCAATTAATAAAAACACCCTCATAGATAAAATAGAGCATTTTACCAACACAGAATACACAATCATTTCAAAGAAATATTTAACTTTTGCTGTCGTGGAACCAAATATATATAAAAGAATTGCTACTACATAAAATATGTTCTCTTATCACAATTAAATAATACTTTCTGAAACAATAGTAAGATTATCCTATAGGTTTTGAAAGTATCACTCTAATTTACTAATAGGTAAAATTGAAAAAGACGTCACGTTAAAATTAATGGCAAAATTAGAACTAAATAAGAATGAGAGAAATACCTAAATTGATGTTCGATCATTTCAACCAAATGTAGAAAATTTATAAGTATAAATTAACTCAGTAAGAAAAAAATGTTTTAAAAAATACATGAGTAGATAGAAATGAGTGACAAAGTAATCATGAGAAAATAGGAAGCAGGAAGGAAGGAAGAAAAATGTTTACTTGGTTGTCTTCTGTAAAGGAATCTACACTCTGTGCTCTACATATTTAATTTTGAAACAATGTCACTATTTTTTGATACCTAGGGAAAAAAGTAAAAGAGGTTGAGTAGCTTGCCCAAGGATCCACAGCATTTAAGTCAGTGTTTTACTAGAGAAACAGATATAGCACAAGATATACAGATGTATAAGAATTTGAAGAATTTGCAAAATTGGCTTATGATGCTCATCCAGAGTCAGATGGGGAAGAGTGCAGAGGGTGTCTGCACACTGGAGACCAAAGGATTGAGTCTAAGGTTGGGAACTCACTACAATGACCCCTCTGAGTCCATATCTGGAGGCTGATGTGTCTACAATGGAAGGCTGAAGAATCTGCCCTGGGAGGCAGAGGATCTGCAGTGGAAGTTGAAGAGACAGGAGATGACATTCAAGGTGAAAGTGAAGACTAGAGTTCTTGCAAAGAACAGAAGCAGATCTGTCCTTCCTAATTTCCCCTTTACACCATCCAGGTGAGGCGCCACCCTATGGTGGCTCTTCTATACCCTAGAGTGTGGAGTTGCTGAGGTGATTTAATTATGCCTTTCTTAAATAAATATCTCAAACTGACACAACCATCATGCAGAGATAGAAAGTCGAAAATATCAGCATTAGTACAAACAATCTGATTGCCTCGTTTTAATTTCTAATTATGCTATGGTCTGTAAGGTCATCATCACTTAGTATATTCTTGGATTGCTTCCAGTATTCTCCATCAATACTAAAATCTGTGAAAGCTAAGTGCCTTAAATAAAATGGCATATGTTTGTCTTATAACCTGTGCATGTTCTCCTGAACACTTCAACCATGTCTACTTAGACTCAATCCTTTGGTCTCCAGTGTGCAGACACCCTCTGCACTCTTTCCCATCTGACTCTGGATGACCATCATAAGCCAATTTTGCAAATTCTTCAAATTCTTATACATCTGTATATCTTGTGTTACTTGCAATACCTAATAAATACAGGTGCTGTGCAATTAGTGGTCACGCTATTTTGCTCAAGGTATAGTGACAAAAGTGATTTGTACATGTTCAGTAGAGACCTGAATATTTTTGGGGGGAACTGGGAAGCAAACTCAGAACTTCGCACTTGCCAGGTAGGTGCCATGCCACTGAGCTATATCCATGGTAGAGACCTGAATATTTTTTCCCATTACTTTTTTTTATTTTAAAAAGAGTGGTAAAAGAGAAAAGAAAGAACAATAGCAAAATACCAACAACACAGACAAAAACAAAGCAATGAAAAAACAATAAAAATGATACAGGGTTTCAGAACAAAATGATAGGAATTAACAGTGGTTGTTATATTACATATTGTTATCTTCAACTACTTTGCTCAGATTGCTAGATGTAAGAAGGGAAGGTTGTTCAAACCACTAAAGAGAACAAAAAATAATTATTAGATAAAACGTTAGAGATAATACAGAGTTTCACTGAACAAGATGCAAGATGGAAGGAATTCACCAACGGTTGTTCCATTGCATATTGTTGTCTTGAAATCAGTTGCTGAGATTACCAGATATAAGCATACAAAATCAGAATTTAAAAAAATTTAAGCATTAACTGTTCCTTTCAATATACCGTCAGACATCAGCAATACAGTTATCCCAGCTATTCATATATATACATATATTGAGCCTTCCTTCTCTTTTCTTCTCTCCTTCATCCCAGTTGTTCCTTCCTTTGAGCAATTTCTTTCCCTTTCATATCATCTACTGTATGTTTTGAGTTTTACTTGCTCTTTCAGGCTACTACACCAGGCATGTTTACACATGTGGGTCCAATTTATTTCACTTATGAGTAAGGTCTCTATTTGCATCCATTTACCTACAAAAGCTTTGAGTTTATCATTTTTTATAGCTGAATAATACTCCTTTGCATAAAAATACCACATTTTTTTCATCCATTCCTCAGTTGATGGGCATTTGGGTTGTTTCCAAGATTTAGCTGTAACAGATTGTGCTGCTCTAAACATGGGTGCATATATATTGCTGTGGTATGACATTTTTAATTCTTCTGTGAAAATCCCCAGAAGGGGAATAACTCGGTTGAATGGGACTTCTAATCCTAGTTTTGTGAGAATTCTCCAAACTGATTTCCACAGTGGTTTCACCAATCTATGCTCCCACCAACAATGCAGTAGGGTTCTTTTTTCCCACAGCCTCTCCAGCATTTGTT